GACTTTAAGCCCATTTAGATGTTGGAAATTTTCTGAACTGTAATATACAATCCATAACCAAAGTATTACAAAAATAAGAACAAAAGGTTGAGGCTGAAATTTGTATTATGAAAGAGAATTCAACATATCACTAAGTCACATACTATAAGACAGAATAACATCTATCATATGCATAGATACTGGTAATTACCACTACAGGATCTGAATCTCTTAATTTTGGAAGGACAAACCAAGAAGGTATTGTAACACAGTAACTCCATCCGGTTTGGGGATCATGCGGCCAAACAGTTTCTCTCCCGTTCTGCATGTATATGTACAATGAGTATGTGCTAAAACAAAGATTCAATCATTTTGGCCAAAAAAAAAAAGATTCAATCACAACTTTCTTTACAGCCAAAATATCAACTAAAACAATCAGAACATACACGAAGGGAAAAAAATCCATTCTATTATATGTTGAAAAAGAAAAAAAGTCATCAAAGAATGGTATTCAAAATGTAAATCTCTGTCAAGATTAAATAATAATTCAGTCCTTATTTTTAGATGATGTCACAGATTCTTGAATGAGTTTTTCCATCATCATGTTTAATTAAAAATACTACTAAAATTTCAGCTAAAAATGTAAAATATAACAGGCTGTTCTAATTCCAACTCCGTAAATGCTTAAAAACCAGCTCATGATGTCTCATATTGACGATGAAATTTATACATATGGGAACCAAAATAACCTAAAATTCTAAACTTTACCAGATTAAATACCTAAAAGCTGGTTAAAAATATATATAAATGTAAAAGCAATAAATGCACTGTCTTTTTCAATTAAGATTAAGATAACTATCAGAGTTAATAGAAACAATCTAGCAACTCGTCTTGCCAAATTGATCCCCATTTTTGTCTTGATCCACCATAAACTCACTCAAAATACTAATTATAGCATAAAATACTAGAATACTAGAATTTCATGAACTAAACTTTTCAATCGCCAAAACCGAGTGATAATTAAGATTCCAAACAAATTTCGAATAAAATCAACAGAAGAAAGGAAATAAAATTGAAGAGAAAGCTGACCCATTTACGAGGAGGCGGACTCCAATCCATCCCAAGAGGAAGTGGCGAAGTCCCATCGTGCCTATGCTTCGGTGGACTCTGCCTCTGCATGATCTATACGACTTTTCTCTACGACACGACGCTGATCTCTCTCTTGGAATTGCAATTGAACATTAAATCAAGTCTCGGGTCACGAATATAGAGAAGGGAAGAGCTTTAGGGTTTATGTGATGGGATCGGGTGAGAGTAGACAACTGGAGCAAAACGTCAAGAGGCGTTGGCCGTAGGAATTTCAATCATCGGAGGCTTTGGCCTCTCCCTCTTTTATTGTTATTAATTCAAAAGACGGCGCGTTTTAAGAGCGAAAAGGGGAGAAGTGGGCTAGATTGAGCCGTGTGCGCAGCGTGTCATCTGAACATGCTGCTGTTTCGATGACTTCTGTCTCTCTTTTGTTTGGTCTCCTCCCCTCTCCTCTCCTCTCAAGTCCTCCATGCCAAAAATTCCATCGCCCACTTCTCTTTCTTTTCTTTTTTTTTTTCTCTTTATATTTTCGTTCCTTTTTTGTTTTTGGAATTAGTAGAAGTAATAAAGAAGGATGCTACCTCACTCTCTTGTTCTGGACGTACATTGAGCTTCACGGCGATAAATGACAAAGACGGATGATGCTTTGCGTTGCTTCTTCGGCTTTGAGTTCAACAAGGTTTCACCCTTTTTTTCTCGTCCTATTAGTGATGGACCTTTAAATATGGGCTACCTTATTGAACCAGAGTGTTGATTACTGGGCTCTCAGCCGGCATTACTTATTTTTCTGGGCTGGATGTCAAGATCTAGAATGATTTAATTTTATGGGCTTACTCAATCAAAATCTGGGTTCAGATAGGGTAGCCCAGTGTTACCAGAGCAGGTTTCATGATTGGGCTTTAGTTTTGGAATGAATTTTTTTCTTTTCTACATGGAAAATTTTGTCCTGTATGCACTACAAATTCCGCCTTATTTTTTTTCATTTCCCCGACAATTTTTTTTTTATCATTTTATAGTTATCAAATCATAATAAAAAATTATTTAAGGATTGACACTGATAAATAACGGGTCCATATAAAATTTTGATAAATAACACATAATTTTAAATTTTACTTAATAAATTATAATGCAATGATTGTAGATGCTATAGTCCTACTATATATATATATTACTTTCATAATATACTAGTAAATGCTTGAATTAAAAAAATTATAAATTAAGCTCCCTTTCCTCCTTGGCAGAAATTGGTAGGAAAAAAAAATTATAGCACTACCGTCAAAGAATCCCATCAAATTGATTTTCTTAAAAAAACTATGCTGGGATCGATGTTGAAGCACATGTTCTAGGTACGTATAGTACTAGATTTATCAGGTTTTTATTCCAGTAGTCAACTATCGAAACCTTAAAAATTTAATATGTTGGAAATTATGTAACCTAGTCGAATAACAGTGAGAAAAGGAGATCATCAATGCAACATTTCAAGGACAATATTGTCCTCTATATATATATATATATATATATGCCGATGGAGTAACAGTGAAGCTAGCAAATTGATCTGAGTGTTGAGAGACAACTAAATCATGAAGATCACGTTTGTTTCAGCATGTCCATGCAGAGAGAGAAAGATAGTTGGGCAGAGAGACCAGTGGTTTTAATTACCAAGACAAGACGTCTAGACCCCTCCCATGTCTCCTCATGGCTAAGCCAAAAGGATTTCACCTGCAAAATCAAGCTGCTTTAAATCGTGAAACAATTACCACCCTCCATGTTTTCAAGCAACTATTGCTCTTTGTTTCATGGCCATTTGTTTATTCAACTTGGAAGCTTGTAGCACATGCTTCTTAAGCTCGCTTATTCATGTATAATTCCAATATATCAACCCGCCTTTCGCCTTTTGTCTTTTCTTCAATCGTGGGCATATCTTTGAAGAGGATTTGGTTCATTGGAAACTTTGAAGGACGATGACTTTAAAAATTGTTGGTACAATTTTAGACATCCAAATAAATACAAATAAAGATAGTCTCATTTTATGTATTTCAAGCCTTTTATACTTTTTTTTTTGTTTATAGCTTTTGCAAAACCGAACAAAGTAAAGGAAAATAAGGCAGTTCGATCATTGAATTTTCCGAGATGTTATAATGTTATTGGAGAGAAAAAAAATGATAATCAAAGATTTTTACATTCTAAATTGCAAGATTGCAGAGATGACACTGTGGTTCTAATCTCTAGAACAAGAATAGCAGAGATGATATTATCAGTTCAGATACAAAATGGTAGAAGTGCTGCTGGGTTGGCAAAAACAAGAAAAAAAATGAAAGACAGAATAAATTAATCAAAGTCTTTGCTCATGCTCACCATTTTTTGAATCCATTGGCTAGTATACTGATGTTGGGATGAATTAAGTAAATAAGAGATCTTGAAACCACCTGCATCCACACAAGAAAAATCAAAGCAAACAAAAATTTAATTCCTAGCTACTGGATTGGAAACCATTGTCCTAGAAGAATATTGTAAGAAGAAATTAAAGCTAACTTAACTACGAACCATCAAGGAATATTCATCAATCGAAGAGATCCTCCCAGTAATTTTCCACAGCTTTTTGAACTTGGTTTCCAAGTACCACTGAATTATACATACTATTGCACGGGAAGGAATACAGTTTTTTTTTTTTTTTTTATACAGTTCAAGAAAGCCGTGAATATCACAAGAGAACCATAGTTGGCAGCTGGATCGGTTTAAAACCATCTCATTTTGCGGAGAGATTGAGGGGAATTGATGGCTAGATATCCAAAAGAAAGAAAAAGAAGGGTGCAAGTGGGAGAATAGAATTATTGTGAAGTGAAAGCTGAAAATGTATGTATATATACATAGTAAGGTTAAAGGCATATGTACAAATGATGTTAGGCTTCCATCCACTAAACAAGTAAAAACCCAATGACTGCAGCCTACCACATCAGTACCAGAAACCATTTTAGTCCCGTCTTTGGCCGCTACCCGTTTTTCCCTTTCTTTTTTCAAAGCTTTTTCCAAAGGCTATGCCATTTGTATAGTAGTTACACATAAGATCGTCTCGATTAATGGCGTTAACTTTGGAGCTAATAACTAATTACTATAATTTCCTTTCAATCTCTACTTATTCGCAGGTTTTTGTTCGCAAGTTGTGACTTTTCTTTGATGTCTCAAATGCAATTAATGTCGCTTATTTGAACCACACATCTTGCTTTTGTCTTTTGGGGTTGAAGCGACGTATATATTTACTCTGAACTTAAATTTACCAAAAAAAAACCAACTGTAAACGTTGTGTGTTGAATACGTTGCATTACAATTTACAAAGCAAAGCACCCTCGGGCATTTCGCTAATCAATGTTACGTCAGTTTGTGGGTTGAAAAAGACTTTAAAATTGTATAACCGTTCTGAGCCCATGACGTAGTTTTCATGTGGACATTGGTGTCACGCCCATAACCCAATTGCGCCAAGCCGAACCACGAGCTCCCCAACTTTCAGCCATACCTACGCTTTCCACACTAGTGTACGTTTCCTTTTTGATATTTTATTTTATTATGCAGGTTAAAGAAAAGGTGCTTGACGTTTGAATTGTAACAACAACGATTTGATCTATTTTGTTGATAGAAAATTACGAACTCAGCCTTATGTCCATGTCTTAAATTTTTTGAAGTTTATGTAATTTTCCTCTCGTTTAATAATTTTGAATTATCTTTATAATTGAAATTTGTATTGATTAATTGATTATAACCTAATGACGGTTCAAATAAATTAAAATTTTAGGTTTATGTATCAAATTTTTTTTAATCTAAAATCCAAACCATAAAATTCTGTAGATTAGTAAAAAAAAAAAAAAGCATAGGACAAAGCCAATGAGTTCATGTCCTTAACCATTAAAACACAAAGGTTTTGATGTTCCATCCAGTTTCTTTGTTACCAAACCGTAAAAAGCATGCCAGAAGCATTTTTTTTTTAGCTTGAGGAAGAAGATCTTTGTTTTCTTTGATTTTACATGTTAAATTGACGGTGTGGATATCTCTTTTCCAAACTGTTTCTTCCAGAAATAAAATTTTGCTTCTGTTGTGCACAAAATTGAATAAGCAACATAATTTATTGCAAAATCAACTGAACATTGACAACATTAATCAAACATTACATTAGGCTGAGGTAAATGAACCCACATCCACATGCCTAGTTATTTCACTAAAACAAATATTACAGATGTCGGAGTCTTTTTAAGACATCCTAAAAATGTAATGCAAATCATAGAAAAACAAACCATATTCCAACTATTGAAAACGCACTAAGAGCGACAAAACAAAGCACATTGATTTGGAACACCATAATAAAATTATATAGGACAAATTAAACTAAGAACGAACTCAGCCAAGAACTGGTCGATATTACGCTTCTTATAATTATTCACATTTGAAGCCTGAAGGAAGCTCCTTCTGACATGCACTAAGGAGTAAGCTAAGAGTAACAGGGATGTTGAGGTTGATTCCAAGTACATTGGCTTTGATGGCAGTGCAAAGGCAAAGGGCAGCCTCCAAATCAGCCAAGCCAGAGATCAAAGCGCAGCATTTGCTTGAAAGAGGTGTTCCCACCACTATGTTGACAAGTCCAAGCAGGTCAGCACAGACACCTAGCTTCAATGTGTCCTTAGGGCAAGAAGCAGGCTGTTCTGGTGGAGGACATGCAGCTTTAGGAGGAGGAGGGGGTTTGGGTTTGCATGAATTACAAGCGCTAGTGAATGTTGAGTGGAAAAGAAGGAAGAAAACTAAAAGGAGGGCACTGATTTTCTTGGAAGCCATAGCTGCTGTTTGCTAGTTGCTAGTGACTGAAGATATTCAAGGAGTTGTGTGCCTTACTAGAACCAGAAGTAGCTTTTTTAAAGAAAATTTGTGAGGTGGCTGTTTGGAAATCTGATTGAGTGGAAGAGAGTGAAAATGGATGATAACGTAGTGGTTGGATTTTTGTAAGCTTTTGGAAAGGAAAGTTGTATATATGAATTTTTCTTCCTTATCAAGCAGTATTTCCTAACTGTGTTGAAGGAGGTTCACTACTTCACTCAAAATGAAGATATGAAGTATAAAGTTAATTATAGCCATGCTCATAAATCAAGAATTTTGGATAAGAAGGGGAAACAGTTTTGTAAAATTTTTTTGGTATAAAGGAGGCCATAACATGAAAATAAAAAAAAATTACAAATATTAAAATTTGAATTCAAACCTATTAAATAGAGTTAAGCTCGAAATTCTACTGTAAAATTTTCACTCTACTTTTATCTCATTTCCATTTCATTGTCTTTATGCCAAATGGGTCTTGCATCCAAGAACAGATCATAATCTTCTCTCCTCTTACAACTTGTGGTGTGGTGAATTGTGATGGTTACTTAGACAAGTTAGTTAACTGGTAGCCAAGGAAGGTGGTGTGATTTTTTCACCAAATGGATTCCAGCTCTTGGGTTATGACAATAAACATGAATTCCTTTTTGTCAACTTGTCTTGTGTTTTGTCCAGTATTGATTTATTTTTCAATAATTGATAGCAATAAGGTTGTTGTATGCAGCTCATATCACATGCTAGCAAATCCCATTGCCGGACCAAGGATGTTGATTGAAAATGGTGGGTCGGTATCCCTCGAGCATGATTAAACGTTAAACCCTGTTTGAGCTGCTACACATGTCTGATTAGGCTACCCCTTCGGCCATTCATGCATCCACTTTAAATGTTTTGTATGTATATCCTAATTGCAGTTTGTTTCTTTGCCTCAAGTATTCAAATTTCAATCATCATTTACTTTCTTACAGCTAGCTTAATCACAATTGACAGTTGTACTGGCCAAAGAAACATGATACGAACTTTTTTCGTCATAGGAACTTGCCTGAATCATGATCAAAATTCTTTTGATAAAAAAAAATGTAATAGACTGCTTCAATCCTCGAAATAGAAGTGTTTGATTATTTATTTTATCAAAAAATCTACATGATGATTAGTGTCAAATAAGAGTGACAAACGAATTAATCAATTGAATCAATCTTTTAATAATCATGATGATCAAAATTTTTTTCTCTACCACTTCCCAGTTTCATATTGAGCTTTAATTTGTTGTATTTGGCGTGCAAAAGACAAAAGGCTACAAGTCTTTTTGCGGACATAATAAGAAGGGTATATGATCTCATTAATTATTTTGAGTATATAGAAATATTCTTCTCTTTACTTTTGAACTACATTTGTCTCTAAAATAATATGCTCGATCGGTATCTGGATAAAATATAACGAGATTGATTGGCTGGCTACGGATTGAGACATGTAAGCAAGCCATAAATCAAGATGTTTGTCCAATATTTGAACTATAGATGTAGGATCATATATTAGGCATACCCTAGCTCGAGAACATCATCTTTCCGCAATCTGAATTTCTGATTCAAAAAATAATAAACCTTCATATATACTTTAGTATTATCTAAAAAAATCCCTGGACCTTATTGGCAAGAGAGAGAGACAGAGACCGGGGGAAAAAAAGAAAATTTCAAAGGCCTAAGGCATTATTTACTAGTGTCGCTTTCTAGGGTTGCTCAATGAGAAGCCATTTTCTCTTCTTTTTTTTTTTTTTTTTTCATGTTTGGCCACAATTTGATAGAGCCATGACTATTAGATAAACAAGGTCCAGAGTGGCTTGATTGATAGACTTGTCAGTTTTGATTCTGTAATTGAAAATGAAGTTTGTATCCCTAGTGTTGTAGCTTTTGATATTCCATGCCAAGGCCCATTCCAGGGTAATCTTCTTCCTCTGTTCTCACTTGAGATTCGGCCCCCAAGGTCACGTTTTGTTGGATTGGTCCAAGCTTCTTTTGCAAGGCAATGAACGAAATTGGAAGCCAAGCCAACTAAATTTGCCCTCCAACTTCCATTCCAGAAAAGCAATCCAAATGCCTGGCAACGGTCATTTTTCTCCTGGGTTTAGTACTCAAGTTCGTATTCAATCCAACCCAATCCCCTGTTAAAAGTTTAGGAGTTATAACTGTTTGGATCTTCAAATTTGATTTAATTTTTTTTTATAATACATGGTATTATAAATTTTTAAAATTTAATTTAAACTTAAATTAATATTTTTTTCAAATCAATTTGATTTAAATTAAATTTCATCAATTCTATTCAATTCTTCAATTTTTAAATTTTAATTTTTTGTATGTTATTTTTATAAAAGTTTAATATATTTAAATAATTTTTTGATATAATAATTATTTTATCTATAAAAATTTTAAAAATATATAAATTAATAAAAATATATAATTTTATTCAATATTTTAATAAATTTTAATTTAAAATTCGATCTCAAATTTAATTTATAAATTTAACATTCAAACTTCATTTAAATCAAATAAAAAAATTTATCCAAAAACCAACTATTCAAATATTTAATTTTTTCAAAATTTTTTCTCATCCTATAAAAGTTTTCATAACGTAAAGAATCAATATGCTTAATTAAATTATCCTTTGCCCTGGCAAAATAAAAAAGAAAAATATCGTTTGCAGACAGAAAACCAACTCCAAATCAATGTACAACCAGATGTTTTGTAATTGTACCTTTTTTTAGGACAAAAGAATACCATCAGACTAAAAAAGAAAACAGAGGAAAACGCCAACGTACGTTCCTTCCTTCTCCAAAAAAAGGCTAATCAATCAGTCCTTTTTCCCTATCCTCTCTTTTCCTGTACCATATTCTTACCTCGATTCACCTTTCCGCGGAAAATTTCCTGCTTTTATAATTCAATTAAAACCCTTTAGTAGTAATATTTTTTAACAGTTTTATTTTTTATTTTGTAATCTCAGCTGATTAACAAAATTTACGGCTGCAAAGTTAGAAAGAGAAATAAAAAAAAAAAAGAGAAGCTACTGTCTTTTAGACACAAGTGATCTAGAAAGAGGTTTAGAATTTCGATGGCGATACTATACGCGCTGGTTGCGCGTGGATCGGTGGTCCTGGCGGAGTTCACTGAGGTGTCGACGAACGCGAACGCCATCGCCCGGCAAATTCTGGAGAAAATACCGGGAGACAACGATACTCACATTTCGTATTCACAAGATCGATACATCTTCCACGTCAAACGCACCGATGGACTCACCGTTCTTTGTATGGCCGACGAAAGTGCCGGAAGTAGGTCAATTAGCTCTCTCAGATATTCTTTTTTTTTTTTGTTTATTTAAATTTTTAAATGTCAATTTTTATAAAAAGAAGTTTCCTTTTCTTTCCTTTCCTTTTCTTTTCTTTTCTTTTCTTACATGAAAGTGGTTTTATATTTGATTCGTTGCCATTTCTATTGCTTTGTTATGTATCGTCGATTAGTTTCGGAAATTAGAGATAAAAGTAGGCGATTGAGAAAAAAGTTGAAGTTTTATGCTCGGTTGGCAATCTAGGGTTTGATTAAAAGTTCAAAAGTGCAATTTCAATTCTAGAATAGGAAAGGGTAAAAGGGATTTTTTTTTTTTGAGGGGTGGTCAATGATCATATCATTTCGGCAATGGTAGCATAGATGCTATGTTCTGAGAAATTAACACTCATCTTCTGCTTTTGAAGGAATTTCAATTTTAGTTTGTTTGATGAGTTGGAGATGGTAATATTTATGTTCTTCAGAACAATCTGTTGATTTCTCATTAATCAAACTGAGAATTTAAAGCTAGAATATCCTTTTGGTTTGCTAGTACTTTGTGTAACTCTTCTTTGTTAAGAACACTTTTGTCCAAATGTTGCTGATGATAATTTTTTTGGTCATAGTTGATGTGTTTATTTTATCTTTTGCAGGGCGAATTCCTTTTGCATTTCTTCAAGACATTCATCAGAGATTCGTCAGGACTTACGGCCGAGCAGTATTTTCAGCCCTTCCATATGGAATGAACGATGAATTTTCAAGGGTTTTGAGCCAGCAAATGGAATATTACTCAAGTGATCCTAATGCTGATAGGCTAAATCGACTAAAAGGTGAAATGAGTCAGGTAGGTTTTGAATGCTTCGAATCAGGCTATCAATTCCATTATTCTAATTCTTCTAGATTCTCGTTGATGGTCCTTTTTCATATTCTACCTACTAATCATTATCGTGTTTATTTGAATGCATAAGGATAAGCTTGTACCTACTTTAAAGATGAATTAGTTTGCTGTTTGCATCACATGGAAGAAAAATTTTCTATTTTGATCTATTACATACCATTTAACATGTTACATTTAAGGGGAGCCCTACATTAAATTGTCACCTGCAGTTATGGCCTTTCTGCTTAAGTGCATTCAACTTACTCCTCTTTTTTTTTTTTTTTTTGACCATGGTCTAATGTTGTTTCTTGTACTCTAATAGGTGCGAAACGTTATGATAGAGAATATTGACAAAGTTTTAGAGAGAGGTGATCGATTAGAGTTGCTGGTGGACAAAACCACTAACATGCAAGGAAATACCTTTCGCTTCAGAAAACAAGCTCGCAGTTTTAGAAACACAGTATGGTGGAGAAACGTCAAGCTGATGTATGCTTTCTGAACTTTAACCCGAGTTTGTATGTTTACATGCACATGCACTGCATTAAGTTTAGAAGTGAAATTTACTAAAGAAGAGCATAGTTTCCCAATAACAGTCAGCTTTTTGTGCACATTTGCTCCATAAAATAGAAGAGATACCAGGACAGATGAATTTAGCACTCATTGACTTGCTTTGCACATTGCAGGGTTGCTCTGATAATCCTCCTCCTAATTATTGTTTATGTTGTGCTTGCTTTTGTTTGCCATGGGATCACGCTACCTTCCTGCCTAAAATGAGGTCAACACTTTGAGATTCAAACAAATTCCGCAGCCTCATGCCCCCTTTAGATTTGTTTCTGAGTTTGTTTGCTTGTTTTTAGTCTCTGCTTGGGAGTATATGTGGGATGTTTCTGTTTCAACTTCCTCCGCAGTGAGTTGTATTTACTTTTTATTTATTCAATTTTTCAATGTGAAGAGCTAGAACTTTGGTGCTGCAGTTGTGTAACCGTGGTTCTTCATGGAACTTGAAACTGGTTGGTATTTGTCTTTTGAAGACATGGCTTGATTGATTACTCAATTTATCCAAGACTATAATTTTTGGTGAAAAGTCTTCTTGTTATCTTCATTGCTGCTTCTTTCTTTCTTTTTTTTTCTGTTACTTGAATTTATTATTTGAAATTGTCAAAATTTGAACTTTGATCATTAAATCTAAGAGTTTAGCACTCAGTTACTCTAATTTTGTATGCTATAAAGTTGTTTTAGTTATACAAACAGCATTCCACACCGAGACCTCTAGATTGTAAGAACGTAGACATGATCAAATTCATAATGAAAATTCCATATTTCTAGAATGAGACTGACATGAGGAAATTCATGCTCCAGCATATAACTAAAGATACAAAGCCATAAACTATTTTCCAATTACGTATTCCAAAAGCGTTTCATAACTGTTAATGTGCCGTAAAAGTAGTCTCAGGAGGTTTTCCAAACGTTCAAATGAGGTTTTAACATTCATTTCCATGCGAGAGTGCTCTTCCTAATCAAACTGCATCTTAGGGAAAAATCAGTCAGAGGCATCATTGAGTTATTTAACTTGCAATTTGAATGCATCCAATTCGTAATTACAACAAAACCTTGTATTTCTTGCTAATTCAAACATACGTTTTGGGTTTTTGATACACTTTGTTACACTAAGCTGTCCTCTACAAGATTAAATCTGTTCAATAATTCCTGCAATTCATTCAGTGCAATCTTATAGTGTTCCTGAGATTGTGCTCCTTCTTCTACAACTGGAACTGCACACTTATGCAAGTGATTATGCCAATAAACTGTGTTATACACATCAATGTCAGTGGAGCCACCTTGATCAACATGCCTGCCCTTGAAATCTTTACACCATCGAGGCAGTATATAGCGTGAGGGAATTTCTTCCACACCATTATAATTAAGAACATTTAAGGCATGCCTGCATAAATAACCTTTGTAGTTGAACAAACTGCATATGCATCGGATATCCACCTGACTAGTCTCGAATAAAACTTCATAACTCCTAACGTCCTTCTCATTTCCTTCAATTTCGATTCTTTCTTTAACAATGTATGTTATTATTGGCCCATTCACGCTCACCTGCCTTGTATTGAAGCAAGAGTACATCCCCTCAACTTCGGATTGAAACTTATTAAAGATTTCTTTCGTATACACTTTAGAGAGCTGCATCTCAAAATTACATCTTGTTTTCAATTCAAAGCATGAGTTTCTCGACTGCATATTGGCTGTGGCTTCTTTCAGGTGCTTCCTGTGAAGAGCTAAATCGTACTTATCAACAAATTCCTTGAAAGATGTATGCTTATGTACATAACCATCAAAAAATGCAGTCAAGCTCTCATTTTCTTGGATAGGGATCATTCCAGCAAAAAATGTATCCTTTAAATAAACTGGAACCCATTGTTTTCTGTCTTCGTACAATGTCTGGACCCATTTGTTATCCCCAAGTCCATGCTGCTTGATCATTTCAGCCCAAGAAGTTTCAAACTCGACAATCTTCAGGGAGTTATAGACAGCTTTATTCAACTGTCTTTTGATTGCTTCAAATCCTTTCAATCCCCCCAACTTCTCTGGAACTCTCTGCATGATATACCACATACAAAAACAATGACGGGCCTTAGGAAAAACCTCAGAGACAGCAATTTGCAAAGATTTGCACTGATCTGTAACAATAACTTGCGGTGAGTGCCCTAGCATGCATTTAAGCCATGCTCTAAAGATCCAGACAAAGTACTCTACTGACTCATGTCCAAGGAAGCCACATCCCAACAACACCGATTGTCCATGATGGTTCACTCCAACAAAAGAAATCAAAGGAATTTCATATTTGTTTGCCAAGCATGTTGTATCAATTGCGATGGTGTCACAAAAGTAACCATAAGCAGCCCTGGACCTAGCATCTGCCCAAAAGACATTCTTCAAACAACCATTGTCATCAAGATCCATCAAGTAAAAGAAGTTTGGATTAGTCAACTTCATGCGACAGAAGTAATTATAAACAGCATAAGCATCTCCCTCTTTAAGTTCCAAATGTTTAGAGTGATCAGCTGGATGAATACCCTCTCTTTCAGAAATATTTGAGAATCCGTTAAACCCAGCATCCATGGCAGCTGTTCTATACAACTTGATAGTATGTATTTCTGTAACAGGCTCTGGTGGTGGTTGTGCCTTTCTGGCTGCAAGAATCATTTTCTTATGAGACTTGTAAAATCTTTTGATCTGTGGACTCACCTGGTGGTTGTGTTCAAGCTGAACTTCAACTATTCTCCACCTTTTACAGTCCAGAAGCCTAATGACTACCATAGCGGGACAACCAGTTCTTGTTTCTGGTCTTGGATTGTTGGCTTCGCTCTTTTTCTTAAAACCTGCACTACTACAGCTAAGTTTTGCTCTATACCGCTCCTTCCTTTTGGATCTAAACCATGAATTGCTAACTCTGATGCCAAAACCCTGCTCCTTAGCATACATATTGTAGAAGTCATAAGCTTCATCAAAAGAATCAAACTCCAAACCAACAGTAGGTGGAGGCGGTTCTTTCTTCGAATTTTTCGCACCAGATTCATCATGTTCCACCGCACTGCAGTCTCCCTCACCCTCATACTCATCGATCTCATCAAATACTGGCTCGCTATTGAGGCAAACTTCTTCCATCTGGAAAACAAAATGAAAGGAATATTCAAACTCTGCAACACCCCAAGAAGGTAACATTAATTAATAAAATTAAGGTTCAACAACATAGACAATCCTGTATAGACAATCCTGTATTAAGCATCATAGAAATCAAAAGTACAATACAATATAGTTTATTCCAGAAAAAATTTGTAAGAAAACAAACATAAAAAGCAATAAAACTGTCCAAAGATCTAATATCATACATATACAGAAAACTGGGAAGGATAATAAACATCACAAGAAGCACAAAGCCTAATTACTAATACAATAATACATTGACAAAAACATATAAGAGTGTCAGATAAAGCTTTCCAAGAAAATCAACTATATATTACCATTCTGCTTGGGCTAAACATGAAGCCTAATTAAAAAATCTAACAACATAATCTTGGAGACTGGACCCATTCAAATGAGCAATGTCAACTCCGAGAAGAGTAGCATTTCCTTAATAAATGCTAATTTTCAGTCACACATTGGACTTTTACAATGAACGCAAAAGATGTGGATCCCAGTAAAGAGAGTCAACAAGGGTTTGGTAGAAGAGAAGATAGTTAGAGTTACTTTCTTTTTGGGCTAGGCCAGAAGTAAGGTTAAATGTAATTTCTGTTATGTGGTCCAATGTTAAACTCAATGGTCTATTTTCGAGCTACAAATAACATAGATGCAATAAAAAAGAGCTTAAACTGAATAAGAATAACTTCAGTATATGTGGTGTATGTGATGAAATGTGCTGCTGTTACAATGATGGAAGCTGGAACAGCAAGGAATGAAGCTGCTGTTACAATGATAGAAGCTGGCATGGCAAGGAAACAGCTGCCCATTTCATCACATTGTACTGCAATCAAACATAGAATAGCAACTAGGGAGGAAAAATTTTTAAAAAATGTAGTCATACCTTCAACTTAAACAACACCACTGTTCTTCATGTTGTTGATGCCAAAGAATTAGCCACATTGGCTTCCCTATCAAATTATAATCAAGAAAAAGACTTGGAAGCTCCAAGAAGCCCATGGATTATCTGCTTACAGAACAAGCTTCCCCTCTTTGGCATAGTTTAACCACTATAGCTAACCCTACAGCATCCCTTCACCACAAAAAGAAAATGTAACCTTAAACTTGTGCAAAAGCTGATAAGCATAACAAACTAGCCTCACCATAGCATATTATAAGCATCCAGATAAAATGCAAGACCATAACAATAAGAAAATTTCAAGAAAGTAGAATGCCTTTCCATAAGATTAAAGTTGTAAGAGCTTCTTTCACCCAAACAAGACAATTAGATTCCCAGACAAGCTTCAGCAATTTAAACCAAAAGAACTGTGAGCAAATAATAAAGAACTAATTTCTGAAGAAACTTAACAATGATGTCCATGCACCGACACCTAGGAGACCAGCATAAGACAATGAGCGGAAGAAGAAAACAGAATATCCTGATCAGTTTGTTGCATAATATTCACCCAATGATGTGAAAAGCAGAACAGAACTGGTCATTGCAAGATTTATCAAATAATTGCTTTAACATGATTTTATGCAAAATAACATGTGAATATCTCTATATTTCCTCAATCTCAAGTCTCAACCAAGACATACTCTTATACATATTTGCCAGCTCAGGAGTTAGAAATAGCAGCAGCAACAATGGAATAGCAATTCAGAATGCTTGCCTGTTGAGGCACCGATGTTATGATGATGTAGACACAAATAACAATAATGATGACATGGGCGGCATAGATAAATAAAAAACCACATGGGAGATATTTTCAAATATAAACTTAAATTAACAAAAACCCTTGCTACAAAAACCAAATAAGAGACACCCCCACATTCTAATTCCCTTGCAGCTAAAATTCATTGGTCCCAAACTTATAGTCCAAAACCAGAACAAAAATGCATTTTCAAATAAACAAAAGCTGTATTCACAGCTATAATTGGACCATATAATCCTTGCAATAGTCTGGTTATACTATGAAATTATAGGTAAGAAATTACCCAGCATTAACCCCATTAATCAGCAAATTGTAAAGGCGATCACAACAAAACAAAAGAATTATAGTCATCAAATGCTTGATTAGTACTACTAT